TCGTTTATTGAAGAGGTGCAAAAATGATAAAATGGGCTGTATTTTGAAACATGGGAATTAAGCCAAGTGTTGGTTGGCCAGAAATCCTGTCAGTGATCAGTACTATAGGTTGGTGCGCGCAGTAGTGCGCGTCATTCAAACTGGTGAAAGAATACACGACACCACAATGATTCGAGCCTAGCCGAGGTGAATGCTTTCTGCAGATAGTTTCAGAAAGTAGATCATATCCACTTAACGCAATAAATAGCCTTCAGGGTGCTTCTTTCAATTGTTCGCCAGCGAAAATCAGCAGAGACAGCGAGATGGACCTTCGCTGTAGTAGGCATTGGGCTTACTCAGATGATGGTGTTAATGTATTCTTACACATGAGCAGTTGTCGCTGTGTGATATGGAGAAGAAAATGCTCTTGCCTGATAGATACACATCAAAATGAGATTTCTGTTTCTGAAAACTTTATTCGAATTTTTTTATTCGAATGTGCACATGATTCACGACCTGTAAAGGCACAGAATTTTTAGGTTGTCACCTTCGAACAAGCCATTGCATCCATATTCCGTTCGTGGAGCGAGGCCACTCACCTAAACAAGTGGATGAGTCAAAAAATCAAAGCTAAGAAGTTGATTATCGTATTACTATTTCCCATTTTACAGAGTACCGTGCGTAGAACAAGCTGTTCGGTAACGCCACATCTCTCGCAAACTATCATGACCCTCACGTTCACCTACACTTCAATAGGGCAAAACTGTTCAGTGGCGTAGTTGACAAGAGGTCATTTGGAAATGTTACGTCTTCCACTTTTGAGCTCATAAAAGGTTGCGGTTGAGAATGCGGTTCAGAGGATGACACGTAGTGTTACCCAGGATTGATAACAGGGGAGGTGTTCACTCACTTTATCTTTTGCACGTCCAGCTATGAGCGTCGATCGCACTTTGTTGATGAGCGGCCACTTGCGTTTGTTACCAGCGAAATTCCTTCCAGGGAAACAGATTAACTTTTGTTCCGGAAGAAGCTCAACAAAAGGCCCATAAGCGAGCGCATGCCTACCTTTGGGATTCCAACCTAACGTAGATATTGTTGGGCTCCAAACCCACTAGGTCATAGCAAGCTTCATACGACAGTTCGTTGCTCCAGTCCTGCAAGCGAAAATAATCAGTAGGGTAGGATTTCCACCAAAGATCGGTCCCGAAAGAAATTCACGTATGGAGAGGAGAAATATCACGAACCAAATTGGGATTGTACATTCCATGCAAATCCATATACCACTTACTCAGCGCTTCATAGGTGAGACATTTTTTGAGTGCTTCAGGATCTGAGAAGATTATGCTCATGTGAAATTCAAACAATCGCTACTGAATGCCACAATTTGGCAAAAGTTGCACAAGTTCTAATACGGAAACACCAGAACTCACATTCAACGCTGGCGTTCACCACTAGGAAGCACAATCCTAAGAGAACGAACAACATGTTGATTGCGATGATTTCTGCCGGATTTCCTCTCCTTTTATGCGTCACCGTTGTCAAGCAGCTTCATTTACTGTGCGCTCCTTTTCACTCACACATCGTTACACGTGTTCTGCACTTTATGGAAAAGCACCGGCTCTGAAATCGATCGAACGGAATTATTGTGCATTATCCGGGTATTCTTCATTGTTTGTGCCATTGTGGCATACAGTTTTGGACTATATGAAAGGCTTCCATCATGTGATGTGGCGATGTAGACCCAGTCTCCTCTGTAACTCATGGTAAACGTCGCCAGGTAACTTAAGGGTGCTATTTCGTGCCATTTCGTTTTGCTGAAAATAGGTGAAAAATGGATATCGAAGAAGAGAACAAAAGAGATTGTTCCCGAAAGACCGCAAAGGAGTAAATTTTTTTGATGTTCGAGGAGAAAGTGAGAGAGTTTGTTTATACATATTTTTTCTCAGGTATATTAGAGCTTACACTTGAACTCTACAGGCGAGTTGAATAGTGCAACTACGTCAGAAGTTGGCCAATCAGGCAGGTTTACACTAAAAAATATGTACGTATAGTCTTATGCAAACGAAACGAAGGAACCCGGCTAAATGTAGTGCTTCGATCAATGTCTTGAAGGAGTTTGGAGATTCCACCACAACAGTGGTACCAATTGTTGACTATACTGATTGCATAAAGCACATTGACTTCATTTACTTCATCCAGCGATCAAGCTGAGACCAGGCTGTGATCTGTGCATCTGAGTTGGATTATTACATGTCGCATCATCTGTTTGGTAGGTGGTGCGGAAACACTAGAGCTTACCGGACTGAAGCGCTCTTGCCCCTCGCGCGCTCCTGGTTTCGAATCAGCCTGCACTCTCACGCCCAAGCCAATCATGCCTTTTATCCTTCGGGGACGGTAATTTGGTGAGAGCACCTGTGAAGAGAAGAAGACTGAATTATACTGCAAGTCCTTGTATAAGCCTCATCGCCTTCAGTAACCCACTACGATTAGAAATGGGAGCAGATCTTGTGCCGCAGAGAAATTAATCAACAATATACTCGCCATTGTTAGCCAATACAGTGCTCGCAGGCGGAGGCGGAACAGGAAGCAGTCGTAGGGGCTTATGTCAGTGGTGGTCTGGTCTGTCGGTCTTGCTCCTTGATTATTCTTCAGGTCACCGTGGCCTTATGGAGCCCTCAAGAAGGAGGTGCCCCGCCCTCAAGAAGGAGGTGCCCCGATGCTAGTCTAGTTCATTTTTCTTTAACCATTTCCGCGAGTTTCTGCGGATGAGCGACACAATTGTAGACCGTGTGATTTTACGGGGCCCCACAGACGAACCTTGTACCAAATTACCGTCCCCGAAGGATAAAAGGCACAGTTGGCTTAGGCGTGAGTGCGGCTGATTTAAACCAGGAGCGCGCGAGGGGCAAGAGCGCTTAGTCGGTAAGCT